GATTGCGAAACCGTAGATTGGGTACGGTTATATCGGCTAGGAATTATGAATATTTAAAAGATGCAGTGCAGGCCGCAATGGATGAAGATACTTCCTTAGATCCGAGTGCTGGAGAGGAGCTACTAACTATGCGGTCGAATAGATATCAATATACTCGAGGTAAGTACACCAATCAACGGCAGCGTGGATATAATCATCATGGTATGTATCACAACAATTATAATTATAGAGACCAAAATAGGTATCCAAACCGGACGCGAGTTTTTCGAGGTTCCTCAAGAGCATGGCGGGGACAAACTACAACTCGATCCACGAGAGGAAAACCTACAAAAATTGTTCGTAATTTTAATTCTGAATATGTAGGCGTAGTAGACTCCCAACCGAAAGCTAGTACATCATCGGCCAATATGTCGGAAAATCAGTTTTTTCGTGAATAATGAGCACATATTATCATGTAATAATGTATGCTTCGTTAAATTATCAATATTTCGGAACTTACAATATTATTTTTTGATCGATACCGGTGCATCAATTTCTGCTATAAAGTATACATATGTCTTAGAACATAATATTCCAATCCATAAAAAGAATGTTATGATTAACGGCTTAGGTGGAAAAGTTAGTGCAATAGGATATGTAAATATCGACTTGCAATTAGGCAAGAATACTCTGACGCATAAATTCTTTGTTTTTGATACTTTGCCATGTAAGGCACATGGTATTCTAGGACAAGACTTTCTTGGCGAACACAAGTCGGTTTTAAATTTCGAGAATAAATCATTAACACTTTGGACGAATACAAATAATGAGATAAAGTTACCACTGTTACTAGGTTCAACTTCTAAAAGTACATATTTTATACCTGCCAGATCGGAGTCCGTACATTATATATATATGAATCTGACGGAAGAATGTTTAGTGTGTGCAAGTGAGATTCAACAGGGAGTTTATATTGCGAGTACATTGAGTAGTCCGAAGGATGGTAAAATATTAGTGCAAGTTTTAAATACCACTGATAAAGACTTGACCTTAAGTAACATCAGACCAAATATAGAAAAGCTTTGTGATTACAACGTATGTAATTTTAATAAAACAGATTTAAATTCAGATAGGGTTAAGCAATTATTCAATAATTTATTTTTGGAACATTTAAATAAAGAAGAAAAAATCTCTATAGAAAATTTGACTGCAAAATATTCTGATATATTTTATCTACCGGGAGATAAATTAAATACTACTTCTATTTATAAACACTCAATTCGCATGAAACCAAACACTGATCCCATTTATGTCAAACCATACAGGTTGCCTTATTCTCAGAAAGATGAAATAAAGAAACAAATTGATAATATGTTAAAAGATGGCATTATCGAAAGCTGCCAAAGCGAATGGTCAAGCCCGATCCTTTTGGTTCCAAAGAAAATTGATTCAAATAGGAACAGGAAATGGAGGCTGGTAATAGATTATAGGAAAATAAATGAGTGTATAGAAAATGATAAGTTTCCTCTTCCTAACGTAACAGAAATATTAGATGCATTATCAGGTAGTGTATATTTTTCACACCTTGATCTTTACCAGGGTTACTATAATGTTGAACTCGAACCAAACAGTCGAAAATATACGGCATTTTGCTCTGGACAATTCCAAATGACAAGAATGCCTATGGGGTTAAAAACTAGCCCTAGTTCATTCTCAAGAATGATGAATTTAGCATTAACGGGTCTAACACATGAAAAATGTTTAATTTACTTGGACGACTTAGTTTGTTTTGGAAAAAATATAATTGATCATAATAAGAATTTACAAGACATTTTTCAAAGGTTGAGAGAAGTTAATTTAAAATTAAATCCTTCAAAGTGCAATTTTCTGAGGAAAGAAATTTTGTATTTAGGACATGTTGTATCTGCTTTAGGCATTACGCCTGATCCAGAAAAAATCAGTACTGTAAAAAATTATCCCGTTCCAAAGAATACCGATGAAGTTAAACGTTTCGTTGCTTTTGTAAACTTTTATAGAAAATTCATTCCTCATTTTGCTGCAAAAGCATATCCCTTAAATTTACTTTGCAAGAAAAATGCCCATTTCAAGTGGGACCATGAGTGTCAAAATTCATTTAATATTTTAAAAGAAAATCTTACTACTCATCCGGTTCTACAATACCCGGATTTCTCAAAAAGAAACAATTTCGTATTACAAACCGACGCATCGAACTACGCTGTTGGTGCGGTTTTATCAAACAAAGACGGAAAGCCGATAGCTTATGCCAGTCGAGGCTTAAATCAAGCAGAAAAAAATTATCCGATAGTAGAAAAGGAATTACTTGCAATTGTTTGGGCTGTTAAACATTTTAGACCATATCTTTATGGGCAAACATTTAATATTTTAACTGACCACAAACCACTTGTTTATCTTTTCGGTATGAAAGACCCATCCAGTCGGTTAATGAAATTTAGAATGACATTAGAAGAGTACGATTTTACGGTAGAGTACGTGAAAGGCAAAGATAATGCGGCTGCAGACGCGTTGTCTAGGTTGTGTGTAACATCGAAAGACTTGAAAGATTTGAGTGAATGTATGAATGTTATGACGCGAGCACAGAGTAGGAAATTAAATGAGAATCCAAGGGATGTTATTGTTCCTGATGACAATCGGTCTGATCAACCAAAAGTCTTAGAAATATATAACAAACCGGACGATTCTGTAGAATTACAGTTTATAGACAACTTAGGTTTAACACAATTACGAAAATCAAATGAAATAAAAAATGAAAGCTCTATGTTATGTTATGTTCCTTCGAAAAGAATAATTTATATAAAACCAGTTGCTCGATCGCAACCGACGCCAAGCGCTTTTGCGAGAGAACTGAATGTTATGTGTAGTGAAATTAAAGTGGAAGAAATATATTTTTTAAAAAATAAAAATAATTATATTTTTATAGAGAAGCTAACGAAAGAAATTACTAGAAAAAGTAAATGGTCCGGACCACGATTATGTGTATTGAAAAATGTAACGAAAATTGAAAATAAAGATGATAGAAAAGTTATTTTAAACGATTTTCACCTCTTGCCTACGAGTGGCCACGCAGGCATCAGGCGAATGTTTAATAATATAAGAAAATATTATTTTTGGCCGGGATTAATCAACGATATAGAAAAGTTTGTAAAACGTTGTGATAAATGTCAAAAACAAAAACATACAAGTAAATATGTAAAAGAACCAATGGAAATCACGACAACGGCTAACTCGGCTTTTGAAAAAATATTTATTGATACCGTAGGACCTTTAGAAAGAGATAATTTGAATTACTCATATATATTAACAATTCAATGTGAATTAAGTAAATATGTTATAACCTGTCCCTTATTAACAAAAAGTGCTACAGAAATTGCGAAACAGTTTGTAGAAAAATGTATATTAGTGTATGGAATACCACAGGTAATCGCCACAGATCGGGGTACGGAGTTCACATCAGCAGTATTCGCAGAGGTATGTAAACTTCTTAATATCAAGAAATTATTGTCAACTGCTTATCATCATCAAACCATTGGTGCTCTTGAAAATACGCACAAAGTTTTAGGTAACTATTTAAGAATACAAACGGAAAATCGTCCATATACATGGAGTTCATGGTTACCATTTTGGAATTTTTCTTTTAATACCTCTGTCCATAGTGAAACGGGTTTCACACCGTACGAATTAGTTTTCGGGAAACGATGTATTTTACCATCTAATTTGTCACAAGATCTTGTCGATCCGCTTTATAATTTTGACTCGTATCCCTTAGAATTAAAGTATAGAATCCAAACAACACAAAAAGAAGCACGCAAGAATTTAATATATAGCAAATTAAAAAGAAAACATAAATATGATTGTAATATAAATCCTATCAAATATAGACATAATGATTTAATTTTAATTAAAAACGAGACGGGAAATAAATTGCAAAGCTTATATTCAGGTCCATATCCTGTGATAAGAGACTTATCACCAAATGTAGAAATTTTAAAAAAAGGAAAAATTGACATTATTCATAAAAATAGAACTAAACTATATTTAGAACCAAATATATAAATCTGTTATCATAATGTAAGCTAAAAGTATACTTTGTTGTTGTTATTAGTTCTAGATAAGTCAACATTAGCGTATCATATATACAATAGGTATACTATATAGATAAAACCTATAATCTTAGAATGTAAACAAACATTGTAATCGTATGTAATTGAATAAAGATTTATGTAATGCATTTAAAAAACAAAACTAAAATATTGTATTTACTAATTTTGTTTTGTTTTCCCCTTCCATGGGGATGTAAGGTAAGATACGTATACTATAATAGTAGCCATATAATCACTCCTATATAATCAATTACATTATTAATAAATGAAAGTCTTAATATCAACCTGGTGTTTTCAATACATCTCCCCAACGCCATCCGTACAATATCGATGTTAATTGTCATATAAAACCATTTTCCAAAAATGTGCATATTCCCTATTAATACAAAACATAACTTGTTATTTATCGTGCAAAGTCCAATTATATCCAATAATATGTATCTCTAGCATGATTAAAGTGGAGCAGCATTTAATCTAATGATATTAATTTTAAGTTGAACTTTGCAAAATAGAAAAACAGTGTTATACAGACAAGTTAATGCTGATGACATAATCGTTGAATTAAATAGTGAGATTACTTTCTTTTTTAATGAATATCCATTACCGTTTAATATATCTATGTCATGATTAATTTGACTTATCTCATTGTAAAGGCGGCACATGCGGACGATTGGAATATAAAAGGATACATTGTTGCGGAAAACTTGCATTGAAAATATTTTCAGATTACGCGTTCTGTAGGAAATGTTGAATTTATGGAGGATGGCGACTCAATAATATCTTACACTTCACACACAAACTTACAGTTCACAGTTATTTTAGAAATTTTATAGACTTACAGTATGTAAATGAGTGAGCTAACAAATGTTTATTATACATTACCGCGTCGCCTAGCGCCCACATATGTTGCACCAGTGATAATGCGACTGGCTCCACTTTCCTCACGTTTGTCACATCCAGCAAAGCGCTGTGGAGCTGGTCGGCGGCTTTCACCACTGATATCCAATTTTCCTGTATTTAAAATTACTATTACAGCGTTTAAAAAATCAAGGAAGCGCATAAGTTCTTTGATATAAATTTCAGGTGACTTTTGACGGTAAAGTCAGTTTTGTGATTGATCGTACCATGTGACTCGATAACGCAGGAGTTAATGCTTTTATCTGCTATGTGAAAGCTAAGCATCCTTTGTAGGGGTTATCTCTATAGCTCCTCTTTATTTCGGAAAACACGTTAAATTGGCACATTGGCGCGGTTGCATTTACAGCCAGTTGCTCAAACGTCCATTAAATATTTCATTAGTTTAAAGTGATATCGCCCATACAAATTTGGCATTCATTAGAGCTTAAAGGGGTTACTAAACCTTAATGGACGTCTGTGCAACTTGCCGTTAGTCTTTAAGAGTAGACTTAAAGCTAAAAGACTGTCGCAATTGAAAAGATAAATTAAAATAATAATGGTAAAAGAGAAGCTGAAATTACTGTCGTTCAAACCCACCAACTCGTACTGGGTCCGTATTAAGGCCCGTTTTCCCCCTTTTGGTTTATTCATTGATAAAGCCTATGTTGATAATAATAGGCTGATGATTATAATGATGAGCTCGTAACTAGACGTATCATTCTTCAGGATTTGTTAGACTTTGCAGACCTACCTACCGTAAATAACAAAGATGTAATTCCAAAAATCAAAAATCGCTTTTGGTTATCATAAATAAATGAACGTAGAGAAAAAAAATGGTATAAAGCCGTTTTATTTATTTTTTTAGCAACAAATACATTTTTTTTTAAGAATATATGAACGTAAAAAAATCTTTCACTTCTTTATAATTTACTTATTTATTATTTTTGATCAATTTTGCATTCACAATGCTATACTGAAAAATATTCTTAATGAAAAAATGCTTAAGTCGCCCGAATTGCGAAAGGTTATGGGTTCGAGTCCCATCTCAGTGTCAGGGACAAAGTGGATTTTTTAAAGATTTTATTTTAATGAATGAATGAATTATATTTATTGAACAGGTATACCATTTGACAAATTAAAAATAGAAACAAGAAGATTACCTAATGTTAATATATAAAAAGAAAATTCTAATAATATTCTATCATAGTCGGTGCAGTGTTTAAAAGGTCCCGTCTCGATATACCTAGTGTTGCAGCTGAGATTTATTAACACCAAAAAGATTTACATTAACTTATTCACGTAACCACATATTAAAAAATAAACTTAAAACGGTCTGTTACTGAAATATAAATTCATCAGTTATAGGTACCACGTTACTACTTACGTAGGCATTTTAATTAAAACAATTAATCAGTTAATTCATTCCGCTAGCCGTCAACGTTATTATTATAATTTAATAACACGAAATGTTTCTAAGTACATATGTACGTACTTTGGAAATTTAAAGTAGATCTATAACTGTAACTTACTGAAATAGACCGTTTTTTTATATTTACATTTAAGAGCCATATGACAAATTTTCACTCTGTGATTTGAGTTCTCGAGAACTTGTTCAAGGTCACGAGTCCACAATACTGTGTTGAAACCACGTTCAAGCTATTTTGATACTTTTCCCAATTTTTGTATTTATTTTAGTATTTCTATGGTGAGATTCATTATCGATTCCCGAATATTTTAAACGATTGCTCTCGAAAAGGAGTCTATTGTTTTTAGAATTAATGTATGTATGTGAGTATTTTTATTGCACCATAACTTTTGAAAGATATAACGGATATGAATGTACAGGGTATCATTAGAAACATCATCCTAAGTTACCACAAAATACATAGAGTATCAGTGAAACTAGCTTAATTATTAATATTAAATAGGTACGTGTGACGCCATTTAAAAAAGTATGTTTTTTTATAATCATAACTTTATGGGTATCAAATTAAAGGTCCATTAAAATATATAATCTGTATACAAAATTAACTGCTCACTAAAATGAATAAAATATAAAAATTATTTAAAAATTAAAAACACGACTGCTAAGATCGGACAAAAATTAAAAGAAACAAGTTTAGCCAAATCATAGGCTATAAATATAAATAGCGATGACAATATATCAATAAAATTATAAATATTAATTAAAAAATATTCGTGCCATATTTTACGTCGACGATTTTGAAATATTTTCGTCATCCATAGGAAACATGGACTGTTTCCTGTTTGGAAAAGTAGTAAATTAAAATTATATTAAACTAGTTGTGCCCGCGGCTTTATGCGAATGGAAAGTAACCTAAGGTTCTTTTCTCATGGCTAGATGCGATGTTATTCGATATGAATGAACGATATCACACGAATCGCGTGCACTTATAAAATGTATGGAACTCAAGTGTTTGCTCATGAGATTGTACTATCTGTCAATATCGGTCACAAATCACTCAAATGTATGAAGGTGGTAGAACGCTCGATCTGCTTTTGATTTTCTGTTCAATAATATCGAGGAACGATTTATTTGCTCATACTTACCATATCATCAAAATATATTGAATTTTACAAAAAAATACGGCAATATCCGTATATAAACAAATGAAAAGCTCGATGGTGCCGGATAGCTCGTTTGATCTGCGATTGAGGAGGTTAAGCGACGATTGCAAAGGCCGGCAATTGGATGGGTGGTAAATTTTTATGGTGGTCAAAAAAGAGATAAGGCATAAAGCATATAAGAAACGTCCAACTAACCGCAATCTTATTCGTTTTAAGGTTCTTCGAAATTGCTGCAGTCGTATGTGCAGGGATGCTAAGCGACGCTTCTTCCATAGCTCTCTTACTGATCGCAATCCTACTGATGCCTGGCGGTTTTTGCGCTCTGTAGGAGTGGGGAAATCTACTGCTACTGTGTCTACCAATGTAGATTTAAGCGTCCTTAACAGACACTTCTCCCTTCCTCCTTCTACTATCGATGGTGACATAAAGGATTCTACGCTCGCAGAACTTTCACTGGTTCCGAGGCCAGACTGCACATCTTTTGTCTTTTCAAAAATATCCGAAACTGACATTAAAAATACCATTCAAGCCATTTCTTCCGAGGCTGCTGGCGAGGAAAACCTAAGCGTAAGAATGTTTACCCCTATTTTATCTTTTCTCCTTCCTATACTTGTTCACATACTTAACTTCTCACTTGAATCCGGTTCTTTTCCCAAAATTTGGAAGATGGCGCACATTATTCCACTGCCTAAAGTATCTAATCCTTCAGTCCCATCTCATTTTCGTCCTATTTCTATTCTTCCCCTTCTCTCTAAACTTCTTGAGCATATTGTTCATAAGCAATTATCAACTTTTCTTTTTTCTAATTCCCTTTTGAATAGGTACCAATCTGGTTTCCGCCCTGGTCACAGTACTGTAACAGCTTTAATAAACATTACTGATGATATTCGTTGGGCTATGGAGAATAAATCTCTTACAGTTCTAATTCTTCTAGACTTCAGCAGTGCTTTTAATTCTGTCGATTTTGACATTCTTTTCGCTATTCTTCGTTCTTGCAATATCTCTCCTTCTGTTCTCTCATGGTTTGATTCCTACCTTCGGGGACGCACGCAACGTGTGCGTCTTGGTAATAAATCTTCTGATTGGTGCGACCTCGGTGCGGGTGTTCCTCAGGGTGCTGTTCTCTCACCTCTCTTATTTTCTATTTTCATTAACTCTGTTACTAAAGTTATATCTTCTAACTTCCACCTCTATGCAGACGACTTGCAGCTTTATCGACACTTTAAAATAGAAGACTGTAACTCGGCACTGGTAGCTATTAATAACGATTTGGATCGCATTAGTACTTGGGCAAAATCGTTTGGCCTCATGCTTAACCCGAGTAAATCTCAGGCCATTGTGATAGGTAGCAGGTTTAATATTAATTCTATTTCTGCATTATCTTTACCACCCCTGCTTTTGGATGGGACTCAGATCGAGTTAACAGACACTGTAAAAAATCTTGGGATTACAATGGATTCAAAGCTATCATGGACTGCATGTATCTGAGGTTAGTCGTAGGACCTTCTTCTCATTTCACACACTTAAATGCCTTCAAAACTTTTTACCTTTTAAAACTAAAGTATTACTAGCACAATCCTTAATTATACCTCTTCTTGACTATGCAGATGCATGTTACTTGGATGCCACTGAGGAGTTATTAAACAAACTTGAACGACTTCAAAATCTAGCGATTAGATTTATTTATGGTCTTCGTAAGTATGATCATGTGTCACATTTACGTAAGTAGCTCATGTGGCTTCCCATTCGTCAGCGTAGATATGTCAGGATTGTCTGTCTTCTGTTCAACATCCTGTATAATCCCGTCTATCCTTCCTATCTGCGTGAGCATTTCTCCTTTCTCCGTTCTCCTGATGCTCTTTGCAGATCCCACCTTAAGTCTTCAAACTCCTTCACACAAAACGGATTTTGCTTCATATTCCTTCACTGTTCATGCTGCTAGACTCTGGAACTCTTTGCCTGCCGATATACGTGATAGTCGCACTATTTCTGTGTTCAAAAAAAGAGTAAAGGATCATTATCTTTTCTGTTGTTGATATTGGATTGTGTAGGTATTATTAATCTTTATATATTATAGATATATATATTATTATTTATATAATGTTTGAACCGTTATGTATTTTTATTTTCTCTCTTTCCCGGTATTTGAATTTGTTTTTTTTATTCCATATTAATTTATTTAGGAGGTACACACTGACTACCTTATTGTATTTCTTTTTCCTGTTTTGGGCCTGCTGGTAGAAATTTCAATTTGAAATAAGCAGTGCCCTTGTACTAATGTCTGTTACATTTGTTCATATGAAATTGTATGTGTGTACAAAATAAATAAATAAATAGATAATCCAACATTTTGTGGCGGCGGCCATCTTGTATATAAAATTTTGTCATAGTAAACAGTATTCTACTACTCAAGCCCTTTTATTTAATGTCCGTATTGAGGGAGTCGTGAAAAATATGTAGGTAATCCAACATTTTTGGTGGCGGCCATCTTGGATTTGAAATTTGTCATAGTGTTCAGTATTCTACTACTCAAGCCCTCTTATTTGATACCCATATTGATGGAATGGTGATAAAATATGTGATCCGACATTTTGTGGCGGCGGCCATCTTGTATCGATTTTCATCAAAGTGAAGAACACTCCCGACTAATACACCTTTTAAACAAAATCAAAATGGGTTCATCCGTTCGGGAACTATGATGCCACAAAAAGACACAAACACACCACACACACACACACACACAGAGACATGTCAAACTTATAACACCGCGTCGTTTTTGCGTCCGGGATTAAAAATATATTGAATTTAGAAAAAGTTGTTTCATATGCGGATCTCCGATAAATTTGATATCGGTCGAATTGCATCGAGCCATAAGTCTAAGTTAATCCTCATTACGTAAGTCAACTTCTAGTGAAAGTCTCTTCAAAATCGGCCAAGCCGTTTCAGAGATTAGCCAGAACTAACAGACAGACAGATAAAATATATTATTTTTGTATATGTACCATGTATACACACAAATGTATTTAGTGAAAAGCGGTTATTTTAATATTACAAATATGCACTCCAATTTTATGTACTAGTATAAGTGTATTGAGAGAAGAAGTACCTTGCTTTATTTGCATTTCATAATATAAATATATATTTTAACTTTCTTATACAAATATACCTAGGGGTCTTTCGACCTATGCTGAAAATAACAAATGTGTATTAGAAATAATTCAATAAGCTATATAAATTCCATATAAATCGAACTTCGTGACCAAAGTTGGAAGTCCCACTATACTGCTCTATTTACGCTCGCTCGAACGTATCTAGATCGAAAAATGGCGCGAAGAAATGCGACACAGGTCTAACGTTGAGGAGCGCTCGCGCGGTACTGAGCTCAGACGGCCGCTGCATCTTATTTTGTAGTGATTTTGCGTTTACATTTATCGTATTTATTGAAATAATATAATAAATTTATGCTTTAAAATTATAATAACTTTGTTCCTTATGAAATAGTCATTAATCTGGCATAAATTTTGTTAAATAATATTGTTGTGGCTAAGAGAAATTCAAAGTTAACTTCAAGCAATTTTTGATGTTTTTTGGTTTGTAATATAATTGTTTTTCTATATTTAATCAGTGCTATTTCAAAATTTCGAGCTACTGTTTACTTTACGACTATATAAGAGATATCATTCTATTTCTTTTATTTCGTTTGTTAAGAACAGTAGCTCAATCCAGGACTTCAAAAAAGTGTCTTTGCGCATTTTATGAAAAACTTTCTCTGGTATTTTGGATTTAATTAAAAAGATGAGCAAAATTTCCAAAAAGTTGAGCCACTAATTTCTATACCAAGAGTTATTCTTCACTATTCAACAAGTCAAAATTATTAATTTGTTTTTGTTTCCGAGAAAAATCACGCAGAAATCACAGTTGCGATGTAATATGGCTCTTAAACCTTTTTTCTTTGCTGCTCCTGTTAATAAAAACCGTACATCCGGACCTAACCAGATAGTACATAATAATGTCACCTCACTCACCGTGTTGTGTAGTTGGTCGACCACATGTCCAGGTACAACATCCAAGTCCTCCCATTTGTAATGTACTCGCAGAGGCGAGGCAGGCTGAGGTGAAACGAGATGTATATCCAATTCGCTATTCGGGGAAGACGCCAGTAGATTCAGCACGAATCTAAAGAAAAGAATAAGATACTCAATACCTAAATGTTTATTGCAAACTATAATGTTACACAGATGTTACAACATAATAATATCAGAATTAAACTATGGACCCTATAGGGCACAGCAACACTAGAGAGAGGAGGACTTTATATCAAAAATAAAATAAGTGTTCTGGCAATTAAATTATCATAATTCTACAACATCAAAGCATTTAATCAAGCATTAAATTAGTGAGAGAAATAAGAATTCTATGGAAAGAAAAATCGTCCATTTCCGTACATTTGTTGTATCGGAGCCACCTTATATATTAATTTTATTCTGTTATTTATTATTTATTGTATGACGACCGTGGTTCGCACGCCGGTTCAGCACGCGCAGCATGACGAACGCGACAACGTTTTGTCTACACTCAAATGTCACTTTTCTCGGGTGCGCCCATACGATATCTCACTCTCGACCCGAGAAACTGACAAATGAGTGTAAACAAAGCGTTTCTCGAGTTTGTCATGCTACGCGTGCTGGGTTTGGGCGGTGGATATTGCATAATATAATATGGCGGCTTTAACTACTCTTCTTGGAATCTGAGCAATATATTTGACGTTGTTTAATATTTACTTATTGTTTTAACGGCAACAGAAATAAATATATAATCTGTAAAAATTCCAACTGTCTTATTGACACGGTTTATGAGATAATACAGCCTGATGACATATGGACGGAAAATGAAACACCGAACGGAATATATGCATAAAGAGTATAAATATTTTATTTCTATTTCTATGCTATTTGTAATTAAGACGACACACTGTCTGCAGTACTCGTACTGTATGTAAAATAATATATATCTATACTCTATCTATATACTAACTAAATAATAAAGCTGAAGAGTTTGTTTGATTGAACTCTATAATCTTAGGAATTACTGGTTCGAATTAAATTATTGTTTTGTGTTGAATAGTCATATACAATTATTAAACGACTTCATGAAAGGACTATTTATTCAAAGTAAATATTTTTATTTTTTGGATAGCGTGTCAATTTTACTGAGCACTAAAATGGAAAGAAGAGCAACTGGATTATTCTATGAAGACATGCGCGATATACACAGAGACACCTGTAAATTTGTATATAATTTCATCATATTTTCAGTTCAGTCTATTGGGTAAGCCTATGCCCTAGTGGGATAAGCTAATGATGATGATATAAAGGTGGATACTCACATATTATATTAAGACTATATTTAATTAAGACTATTAAAAGATTCCAGTATAGCAGGCCGGTGTGCACACATAACCCTCGGACCACGTGTTCAAAGCGACGGGTTAGCAGCTAGTGATATTAAAAAGAGGAAAGATTTGATTCTTTGTTTGCATTTAATAAGCTTCTTTTATCTATGGGAAAACTACATTATATGCGGTGAACATAGGCTATGTTTTATCCCGAAAAACAGCAAATAAATGGATGAAAACGGGAATGGAAGTTTGTATGGGGAATCAAAGCGGTACTATAGTAACGTTTGTTTACTATTCAATTTGTCTTTGTAATTATATCCGTGTATATATGAATCGATATTCAAATAAACAATAGGCTTGTGTCCTACAAGTAAAAATACAGGTTTTTGTTATATCTTCGAAAAATATGAACCATTTTAACTTATAAATGTTTAACTAAACAAATTTTAAGTCACTGATTTGGAAAATATTACGCTCTGAAACTTGAAAAAAGTAGAGAAAATCTTCTACAAAAATTTGCTAAAATACATAAGGCATTAAATTAGATATAAAATATGTTACAAATTTCATTATAACAGTTATAAACATAAACGCACAAATAACAAAGATATTACAAAAATTGTCCAGACGCCCATACATTTTTCGCTACTGTAGCACCGTGTGACGTCACTGAGTGCGTTGAATTTGTAGGTAGCGTTTTCGGCCAACTAGCAGCAGTTCTACAAACACAGCACCGTATCTCCAAAACTATTAATCGCAGACATGCTGTTACTTCGACATTATTTCTCAGATGTTAATGGACTATTTATTTATGAAATAAAAAAAAAGTTGTCAACTAGCCTATTCTCTAGGGACCACGCAGGTGAAACCGATGGCGGAAAGCTAGGATTTAATATTCTTTATGTTACCTATTATATAAAATTTCCAATAATTCTATACTCATATTAAAAAGAGGAGAATTAATTGCATGTTTGTTTACATTGTATAGGCTCCGAAACTATTGGACCGATTTACAAGTCTTTTAAACGGAAGCTACGTAATGCGCGTTGTACATACGCTATAATTTGCGCAGGCGAAATCGCGTGAAACAGCTAGTTTGATAGAAATTGGTTCATAAATTGAGAAAAAATCGATTGACTTCAGTAACGTTTTATTATTAACATACGTACTTTCATAAATGTATACATACTCCTTGAACAAAGAAAATCCTCCTTTCGGATTTTGAATAAATTCGAAATACACAATCTTTTGTTTTTAGTTGAGATACAAGAAATACAATATATATCATCTACATATTTAGTTGATATATGATGAAAAGTGTATTTTGTTTTGTTTTAAAAGAGAAACAGTGATTCGATTTCGATAAAATTTAAATGTCCACCTCGGTCCATTAAGCTGTTGAATAAAATATATAATTTTGAAAATCAGTCCACTTTTAGCGGAACTATCGATGACATACCTACATAAAAGAAATACTCACATCACTATCGAACACGTTACATCCTCCTTTTGGATTTTGAAGCCGGTTAAGTGTTTATGAATATTTTAGGCGCCATAGTTACAAAAAAAGAGGAAAATTCTGTATTTATGTCTAGTTTCTTACTAACTTTACAATTATTCATAATTTAAGTTTAAAATCAAAGCCTAAATTTGTGTTTCATTTGATATTTCGTACAGTATAATTTGCAAAACCTTTCTAGTTTTTATTATCCCAAAGTATCTCATGTTTATTAGTAAATTAGCTGTGACAGACAAACGGACGAACTAAAATACAAACACACTCGTGAGAGACATAAGAGAACAATTTCTTTACAAGCGCGGGTTCTAAAATAACCAAATATCAACGAAATACTATTTGAAATCTTCCGAAATATGTTAACAAAATATCATTAATTTGATAGTACTGATTCCGCGATTCTGACGCTAACCCTCGGTGAATATATTTCAAAAATACCGAATTACGAAACCGAACGCAAAGTAGCACATTGAGCGATTAATTTTTATATAAAAATTTCGCATCTTACCCATCTCGTTCCAAATGTAATCGCGTAGAATGACGTCGGGGAGACACCACAGGGCTTCTTTGTAAGTTATGTAGGACTTCTACTTCTCTATGGGGCTCAACGGGGCTTGGGATTTTTTCAGGAGATCGCACTTCCGCCAGCGTTAGTGCAAAGCTCGAAACTTCCTTAGATTTGTGCACTTTTTCGTCATTCTTCGAGCGAAAGTAATCATATAGTTCACTAAGCGATTTTGATTTCAATTTTACATTTTTATACTGAGATAATGAATTTTGATTTGATTTGTTTTGTATCACAGGAAGGGGTATGCCGCTTTTCTTTATTGGCTTTGCTACATTTTCCCTTTCTAACGCCTCACGCTTTATTTCATTCATTTTATTCACAATAACGGGTGTATTCGTTTTGGATATTTCGTCGATATGATCTTTCCGCTGTTGGATTTTGTTTATATTATTATCATCTTCGCTCGAGAGCAAATTTTCACTATCAGGAGTTCTTATTTTTACACTTTCACCACCGAAACGCACTTTCTTAACAACAACATCAGTATCTTCAGAGTCCACGTCGCTAAATTTCAACATATTCCTATCAGTACTGTCACCATCTTCTTCACTTCCCGTATTGCTGACTGAATTTTTGTCAGTTTCGGAGTCATTTTCTTCTAAAACCGTCATCGTTATGGCTGTGTCTGCATCGAATTTGATCTCAGTTTCGATAATTACTTTTGCATAATTGTTATTATAAAATGGAATGTGCGTAAATGACTCTTCAGAAGAAGAATCAGTTGACATCCTAATGGGTGTTGTGATAGGGCTACTGAAAACGTGATTGATTTTGAGTAACGTTTGATTATTATTGTCTCTATAGATAGATTTTCTAGGTGCGTAGTAAACATCCATTGAATCTTCGTCATAAATTTCACATAAGTGACGAAATTTATCTTGTACTTTTACATCTAGCCTCGATAAATACATCATATAATCACGAGGTCCACAAACTCTACGAAGTTTCAAAAGGGAACGTTGAGCGACATCCCGGTGAATAGGATCGAAAAGTTTATCTCCCAGGATTTTGAATATCGGGAACGCATCAATCCCCGGATTTCTTCTTTTCAAAATTGACATTAATGACGGGATGGAGAGGATCAAACCAGTGATGACATTCACTTTATTATCAATATTTGCAGAATGTGGCCTTATGTTGCGATAAGAGCATTTGTCTAAAATTGCTCGAGCCGCGCATTCCGAATCTTCGCAATGGTTACAGAAAACTTTGAGAGCATCCAAAGCGGCCTTGCGCACATTCGGTGAACTGTGACCCAAGTTGTCTACGACCTGATCGAACGGGAATGAGAGAGCGTTTCCAGACAGTGGCAGTAGGTCGGCGAGTACTCGTAGCGCATGAAGGCGGACTTCCCATTCGGGATGAACGAGCCGATCGCGAATGGCCACGTAAAGGAGTTGGACGTCTAAATCGGGTGGTAGAGCACGGGCCCTGATCACGCGGTCCCATAGGGGCGCCAAGGGCGGTGGCGGTGGCTCGGGCAGTTGCATGGCGTGGAAATGACGCGGCGAGGGCTGTTCGCGTGCCCAGCCGCGCCGCGGACCGCCACACAACTGGGTTAATGATCGGTAAGCCACGCCGCCTTTGACCAATCGATGGAAACGTATAGGTATAGCACAGGCCGTCGACACACCACGTGTGTTCTCTGTTAGTGTGTAACAAACCTCTTTACAACTTACTCGTTTAATATACACGATAATTGATGGTAATTTGAATAACTGCAACACGCACATTACTTAGCCTACCTGCATGATGATATGCATTGATTTACTTAAATTAAGATAAAATCTAATAATAGAAACTTTTACATTTCAAATAGGCTCTGCTTTTAAATTTCTCTACGTTTTGTTTTGATATGACATACTAATTAACCTTTATAACTATATTTATTTGGAAAAAAAATAATACAAACATCCTCAATATGAATAGTCTAACAACTTAACGCCTTCCTCAATAACATTATGTTCTATATAGTTTCCATATAGTGACAAGAAAGATCTATAATTTTAACCACTGTGAAAGAGATTTAATTCTATAATATTAAAGATCTTCTCAGTTCCATAATGTAGCTCTTAGGACATTTGTAGGACTATACTAAAAAGTCTTTAAAGTGTTGTTTAATGAATCTTTATAATATTTAAGGGTCTTAAAAGCTCTAGCGACATCTCACTTCTATATAGCTAAAAGGTATTAGCTGACTAATAGCCAGTTGCACAAACATCCATTAAAATTCTCATTAGTTTAAAAAGACATTACCCATACAAATTTGACATTCATTAAAACTTAGAGGCGTCATTAAATCTTAATGGACGTTTGTGCAACTGTCCGTTAGATAATAGACAATTTTTATCCCACTTAACATTTCCCTTGGGTCCACGCGGGCGAAGCCGCTGGCGAAAGCTAGTAGTAAATAAATTAAACACAATCTTATGGTTTTAAATTTTGAGTGTAACCATACCATGACAAATTAAACCGACTTCTAAAATTCGTAATAAAAGATACACAACTAAAAAGGGAGAAATAATACCACATCTTTTTTGTCTCAATACCAACAATTTATTTTTTGGGGTCGGTGCCATCGTGCCAGTCGTATCATTAGTAAGAAGTAAAACAGCACTATCAGAAAATGTGTCTTCACTTAATATTTTTCTCTTACCTTACATAATATTTTTTTCATATATATATGGCACTGACCTAAAAAAAATTGTTGGTGTATCCACTTTTTGTCGATTGAGTTTTTTTATTATTATTTTTTCTTTCTTTTTTTAACAATAGAAATTTTCACCGATCCATATTACTGCTAACTTATAATTAATGAACACTTCCATTTGTATTTAAACATTTATTTATTTATTTTTAGTGGATATTGTTAGGGTCGTAGTTTTAACCTTACATAATCCATTGTTCTGATAGCAATGTAGCAGTTTCTTAAGTCATTTAGAAATTTTTCTCTAATGCTGTTCCCTAAGTTATAATAATTATCCAATAAAATAATTATTGCAATCCGACGTCTAGCTTGCGAGATAGATATCCGTGGACAAACATACATATATAGATACATCTATAAAATTTAGCACCCATACCAACCAACATATTTATTTATTTAATCTTTATTGCAATGCATCATAGGCGAACTTAATACCAACCATGCTAGTCGCAACAAAGAGATTTTACGAGAGAAAAAAATAAAAATAAAACTTTTCAAATTTGAAAGTTTCGCAATTCCAACGAAATTACATACATTCACCTCGAATTGATAACCTCCTTTTTGAAGTCGGTTAATAAATGCATTATTATTAATATTAGCATATACACCTACTTACATAACACACTTTTTACTTGAAGTGCATAATAAAAGGCTGTAAATTAAGATTTAAATAGACTTTTTAAATAACCCTATTTATATCAGCCTAACCATATATATTATTTATATCACATACCTTACATAAACAACACGTGCCTTTTTTATTAATTAAAAATAATAAAAAAACATGAATCTTAAACTATGGCAGCTGCTATTTTTTGGCATCATAACACTAACTGCTGTACTAAAATTTTGTTCATAGATGGTATGAACTTGAATAGGTCATCGATGTTGACATCCAAGACACTATTACAAATGGAATAATTGAAATAGGCGTTACAAACTTTCAGTTTATAAATAGACGCATTTATAATGATTTCGCAACAATAAAATGCGCTTTATATACGTCAATGCCAAGGTTTTGGATACCGTCAGGCAAACCTTGACAGGCATAATAATAACAAGCTACGGGTGTAACAAAAGAGAGAGTCGCGAAAATACCCCAACAGGTACATAGACTGCCACTCACTTTGCAATATGGTAGAACCATGACTCGGTGTTATGTAGCATCTATTAGCAAATTAACTTTACAGGATACTGCGGATTTTAGCGATCAGCATTTTTCGAAGCTAGTAATAAATGTTGTTGCAATTCAATTTGTGTCTGTGATCGCCATCTTCAAATAACCTGCAGACAAGAGGATATTCAGGGCCAAATTCCAAACTTTTTTGTGTATGTGAATACCTAAGTATATCAGATTTTACATCAATTCTTTCATGACTACATAAACTATTCGACAATCATCTGAAAAAGATACTTCAAGATGTCTTTTATCTTTGAAAATCTGGATATAGGTACTTAAACTTAAGAGAGATAGATTATTTTGTAGCAGCATTAATTAATGCTTATAAAAGTAAATTATGAATGCCAACTACAACTAATGATTAAATTTTAAGATTAAAAAAAATAAATAAAAATTTTAAGATTCTAAAAAACTGCAAAATAAATAAAAAAATAGTAAAATATTTAAACTAGTTGCGGATTTTCCTGATCCTGAGCAGAATAACACTTAGCTAGCCATTGCGGGACTGTAATATAAAACTTTTTCGACAGTGGTTACTTCTTATTTATTTTCTTTGCTGGAGGTCCGGACAGCTCAACCTGTATTTCTTACATTCACTCGGAGTGGCCCGCACTTAGCTACTTACATAACCCCTACTTTGCGAAGTCACCCCACACTCATAACATCTATGAGTACTATAAAGATACTACTATATACTATAAAGAGAACTTTATCAGACCTTCAAGAAAGCCATTCTCCCCATGTTACTATATCATAGGATAATAGGAAATTAAAACATCACCTCTTGATGCCAATTAATTACCTTATTTTACTAATTTTAAACTACATATATGATGGGAATAAATATACTCTGAGGTGGTATGACTTAATTTTACATACAAACATAAGTTAAACTATTTTCTATATAATTTAAATTAACGGCAATGAAAAAGGTGATTACTGATTACGCTTGTGAACTGCTGTGTGTTGCTGGAAAATTCATAAGCCTGCGGGGTGGCTAGGCTTGGGAAAAATAATCGATTTATGAAAAATCGATATTTATTTCGACGATATTGTTAATTTTCGATATACTGATAATCGGTATTTATTGTAGATTATAAAATGCGAAATTTTATTTATTGATTTAATATAGTTGGTAAATATCACTGCATATGCTTTGGTAAACTCGATATAGTTCTAATTTGATCATCGTTTTGTTCTAGTATCGATACTTTAATATCGATACGATAATTATCGATAACTTAAGGTAAGACAAATAAGTGTTGTTACGCTAAGACTCCTAAACAACTGAACCCGTCTATTTCTACATTAATAATGGAAATGGACTTAGACTTAAATAGTGGATGAAAGTTTAATGGAAATTTGTCATTATCAAAATTTGTTTTTAGACAATTGATAAGTATAAATAAATATTTGATAACAGAAGTATTCTAAAAGAAAAAGAACTACTCAAAGAAACTATACCACGCGTATAAAATAAAAGCTAGTAAGTATATACATATATAATGCAGCCAACTGATCTTACAATGATTATAGTTAAATCATGACATTTAAAACTTATGATAGGATGGCTGACTTAAATGCCACCGTACAGTTCATTTAGCATATTAATTCTCCGCTTACACGGCACTTATTTCGATTTATTTACGAAATGGCACCAACGATTGGTCTTTCCCTGCAATCGCTTGAAGTTGATTTAAATAGCATAAAAATATCACGATTATAAATTTAAACATCTAGTACGAGAACATTATCAGTAATTTTATTCTAATATCACAGATATTTAGCTATTGTATGTGAATAATGCTGTTCCTAAATTAGTACTGGTGTTACTTTTAACATCTGATAGTAGTCATCCGATTCTCATAGCAAAGCTACCTGCCTATGGATTGTCTGGATCTCTGCTGAATTGGTTTGAGTCTTACCTCAACAGTCGCTTTTTTATGTGGTGGTATACCGCAGGGATCGCACCTGGGACCTATTCTTTTTAATATATTTATTAATTACCTTCCCCTGTTCATTCAAAATTCAACACCGTATGACTTAAAACTGTTTTCGCTGATGACTTAAAACTGGCAAAGGTGATCGAATCATGGGAAGACGTAATAGTGCTACAACAGGATTTAGAAATCATGGTGGATCGGTGTAAGAATAATGAGATGGACATGAATATAAAGACATGTTCACACATAAAATTTTCCAGAAAAACACAAAACTTACCATCTCATTATGACTTATATAGTGACTTAGGAATCTTATTTATTATGACGCCAGCTCATTTCGTAATGTCAACTCCTTTAAAATATTTATCTGCGACTGATTTAACTAATGAGAACGGTAGACTAAGCAACCGTACACTACTATTAGATAATATGGTCAATTCATACTGGAAGACATGGCATAAAGAGTATTTACACACGTTGCAAATTGGGCAGAAATATATAACTACAGATCGTAATGCTCAAATTGGAACAGTAGTATTGGTGGGTGAGGAAAAGAATCCTCCCTTAACGTAGCCTTTAGGTAAAATTACAGAGGTCTTTCCAGAACATGATGGTATAATACGAGTCACTATGGTTAAGACTCAGAACGCTAGTTTCAAA